GCAGGAGACCAAAGTTATGCTTTTGCTTCCTAAAACAATATGTAACTGCTACAAAGTGAAGATTCTAGTTTTTCTTTGAAACTGAATGGGCAACTGCACCAAACATTATATTTGCAAATCGCACACTTGTACAAAGAGATCACATACAAGGCCTCCTCCCTTAAGACAACTAACACAAAATCGGTATGTTTTCTTATATTTTACATGTGTTATTTCTTTGTGTTTATTTTCTATGTCAATTTCCATGCTCATTTCATAATAGTAAAAATTGGACGTTAATTTCACAGAAAAGGAACGTCTAACTACAGACATGAAGAGCATTATGAAGACAGAAAAATCCACAAATATACCTATAAATCAATAAATGCATTGCATCGAAATATATAATAGTTTTAAAATGATAAAAACGACGATATAAACCTGAAGATGATGTCATAAAACATCGAAATATGTCGTGCAATTAATAAGCGCCATAATAAATGTAACATCATACTACAATAAAAGCGCCATAATATAACATAATATAACTTATTGTAATATTTTATACTACAGATGTTATAGTGTTATATAAATTTTAACAACATTTTAAATACGTTTGTGTATAGACTGCGAATAATAAATATATATTATATTTGAAGATTTTTGTCTTCTGGGTTGTTGCGCCGTGTAGTCTGGTCGATGTTAACCATTGTTTCAGAGGTCATACTGCCTCCGTCATCAGGGCGATTAACATTCAGAAGACAGAAATCTTCATACTCACCGCTGTGAAAACCTCAAATCTTACAAACATTATATTTGATTGTTAAACCAGTTTGAACAGAAATGCAGAAATATCCTTAAATGGCTAATGTTTGTTCTCAAAATGTTGTGGCAATGCAGTACAGTGCAGCAAAATCAAATAGAAAAGCAGTTAAAGAATTTGATGAACTTGGGATATCTCAACAGTTAGTTCAGCTAATAATTACATATGGTTTTAACATGCTTTCATACAAAATGTCAGAATTAAATACGCAAAGAAGACTTCTATTTGCAACATGGGCAGAGATGGAAAGTGGCTTGATCGGACTCATAAAAAGTGAACGCCATCCGAAATGGTTTATGCAAGATGGTCCCATGCCACACATTGCTGATGCAGTTTTGCATTTCTGCCTTTATTCTTGATAATCTCACACTGGTATCTTGAGCCTACCTCATTCAAGACCTTAATCCATGGGAAATTTCTTGTGGGGTTTCATGAAAGAGAAGTTGTTTCCAATGAAGCCAAGTTATCTCATAGACCTGAGAGCCATAATTATGCATAAAAGTTTCCAAAAATATTATCATGTCATTACAAACATTCATACCTGCCTCCAAGAAGTTTCTGAACAAAATAGACACACAGAACATGTACTTCACTGAAGAAACTTCTTAACAAATTCTGTGTTTGAATCTGTACACTTTGTAACATTTCATTAAATTAATTATTAGTGGAACATGTTAATGTGCCAACATTTCATGTTACACTGTGTATAAAAAACTGAAGTTAATTGTGTTAAATATGATGCTATCTGAGGTCTCATTAAGATATAAATTAAAAATGAATGCAGTTCTCAACATACCAAGCTTAATTTATGCAAATTTTTCTTTCAATATTGCATTAACTAGTCTCAAAGTCATATACTTACTTAGGATACTTAGGTGACCCGTTCTTCAGTGACTTGAGCATCTGAGGGTCCAAACTTTCGTTGGCTTTGATCTATCAGACAGTTGGTAGGACTCCTTGGATGAGTGATCAGCTCATCGCAAGGCCTCTACCTGTACACAGGACAGCACAACACAGAAAGACGCGGATAAACATCCATGCCTTGAGTGGGATTCGAACCCATGGTCCCAGTGACCAAGCAGCACAAGACCACGCAGCTACTGTGACGGCCTCAAAGTCATATGTGAAACATAATGCCTGAACTCACATAAAACCAAAATAACCAACATTTCTGTAAGACATGATCTTACACTTCATATCCGGCAGTTACATAATGAACCATGGTACACTAGGCTTCTATCATGTATTCTATCACATTCAGTCATACTGAAAAGCTGCATTTCTAACTCAGAGGTGGTGGTGAAGATGATGAAGAACAAATCTAGTTGAAAGCAAACCAGGAATTGATTCAATCAAAACTGATCAAGATAAACAGAAGAATATTTTATGAAGACTCATTGTTGCCACTCCTTTTCTGCAGTGCTTACTCCCTTAACTCATGAATAAAATAGATCTAAATGTGGATATCAAGTAAATAAAATGGAAAGGAAGATAAACAGTTTGCTTTAAATGGATGATCTGAAGCTGACATAGAGAAGTTAGGGAGAATAAGAAATTAAATCAAAATTGTAAAAACATTAAGCAATTACACAAATATAAAGTTTGGTTATAAAAAATATGCCACAATTTCTTTAAAAACATCACAGTTTATAGCAAACAGCACATAGGAAATATAATGAAATTAAAGAATTGGAACCAATGAAAGTACATAAGAATCTGGCTGTAGAAGAGAGCCATATTATAGAACATAAAAATAAGAGAGAAAAATGGTGTAGGAATATGTAAGGAGGCTAAGACTGATTTCGAACACTGTACTGAGGGCAAAATAAAAGCAAGCAACTGTATCACTGGCAGTACCAGTGCTAACATACAGTTTCAGAATTATTAATTGGTGCCAAGAAGAAAAACAAGAACTGTATAGAAAACAAGCAAAATACTAACCGTCTACAGACAGCATCCCTCAAGAGCAGACATTCATTCATCACTTATATCTTCCCAGAAAAGACAGAGGAAGAGGAATGATTCGGGTGGAAGAAGCCTGCATAGCAAAAATGATTAAACTGGTGGAGTATGTAGAAATTAAAGAAGATCCACTGATACAAACTGTAAGGACACACTAACATAACACAAAAAAACAATAATTCAAAATATAAAAGGAAAATGATAAGAAGAAAGGATACACGAACAGTTTCTGCACATGTTAAATAAAAAATTGGTGGATAAGCAACAATCATACAAGTGGCTAAAGTTCGGAGACATTAACAGAAAATCAAAAAGTACAATAATGGTAGCTCAGGATTAGGCAATCAGCAAAAACTACTTTAAGAAACAGATTTTGAAATAAGAAGCTGAAAGTTGTTATTAACTATATAAAGAATATCAAGAAACTATTGACCACCTATCAGGACTTCCCATTCTGACAAAGAATGAATACATAAAACAATAGAGCCACAGGACTTATAACTAAAATATCTGGAAACAATACCAAGAAAGCACCCAACAGATCCTCTACAAGTAACAGCCATACTAAGAACATCATACATTATAAGGAAAGTGCTACAATCAGAAACTTAAAGCCACCAGTTCAAGAAAAACAGTACCAGGAAAACATGTGAAGAAATAAGAAATGATGATGGTGGTGATGATGAAAATACAGAAATACTGGCAGTTCTGAATAGATTATGAACAATATTGCAAGTTATATATGATTTGAAGCTTTCGTGGCAACCTAATTCCATAAAATCTTCTCGGGCGATCAGCTGTGTCAATTGGTTAAAAGAAGAAACTGACATTTCAGGACCCATCTCTGTCCCGATCATCTTCTGACGATTTTCTGATGTGACTGGATGTCGCAGTCATCTCCCATATATACATGCCTGGCCAGTGCTGAAGTTGGAATGGATGCTGTTTAGATGCTGAAAGACCTGGAGCTCCTCCCTTCCATGGGGCCATACCACAAAGATGGCATCCATGAGCTGTTGGACAGTTCTGCCATGGGACCACCTCTTGCACCTCTAATGGCCAATTTAGCTCTGGAGCACTTTGAGCAACGAGCCTTAGGTTCTGCCGTGAAGAAACCGGCAAATTGGTATAGATACGTGGGCAACAAGCTAGGGCTGAAGGTCCCCAGTATATACCATATTCCTTGCAAATGCGGTAAAGTTTATGTTGGGCAAACTGGCAGAACCACCGAGACCAGATGTAAAGAACATGAGACACATATACATCTCGGGCAGCCAGATAAGTCCACTGTGGCAGAACACAGCATCGAAGCAGGACACAACATCAACTTTTAACATCACAATACTCAGAAAAACAACAGGAATTACAGACTGCCTGATAAAAGAAGCAATAGAGATCAACCTGCATTCCAATAATTTTAATACAGATGGAGGCTATACTTTGAGTCAGACCTGGTACCTGGTAACAAAAATGCTCAAGCAATCTGGTCAAATCACCAATAGAAAGCAGGGCCACACAGCACGAGCTCTTGACTCTGCCCACCAGCTGTGACTGGCTAGGGTCCGGCCATGAGCACTGGTCATGCAGCTATATATGGGAGATGACTGCAACATCCAGTCACATCAGATGATGGAGACAGAGATGGTCCTTGAAACATCGGCTTCTTCTTTTAACCAACTGACATGGCTGATTGCCTGAGAAGATTTTATTAAATATTGCAAGTTCTGAATTTATGTTGTATGATAAAAGACCTCACACTTTAGATTTTCAATACTGTACAGAATATTGTTGATTCTATACAAACCTCAGAAAATAAAACTAACTAGATGGTTTACTGAACCCGAAGGTTCATCACCGAATTAACCAAAGCCCTCCACCAGACCCTGTCCTGGGCCAACATAATCCAGTCTCCTTGAACTCCTATCTCCCACAGATTCTGCCTAACATTATCCTCCCATCTATGTCTAGGTCTCCCCAGCGGTCTCTTCCCCTCAGGTTTCCCAACCAATACCCTGTACACACATCTTGTCCCATTAATGTGTGCTACATGCCCCACCCATCTCATTCTTCTTGACTTAATCACCCTGACAATACTGGGAGAGGAGTATAAATTTTTAAGTTCATCATTATGTAGTTTTCTCCAGACCCCATCGTCTTCTCTCCTAGGCCCAAATATCCTCCTCAACACCCTAATCTCAAACACATGCAAAATATAAGACTTAATTTTTCTACCAAAAACTTCTGCTAATAAAACATCGCATGATTACAGATCCTTTCTTCTCTTTCTTTGTTTTGAATAAACAGATAGAAGAGATTTGACTGAAATATTCATTCCATTTCACACTAGTGAAGCTACAACACTTTTTTCACTGTCAACACTGGATGGAGTACCCATGAGTCCTTGGAGTCTTGAAAGAAATTCTTCCATTGACATTTTGCCTTTCTTAGGACCTTTATGACTAACAACTTTCTTCACCTTTGCTTTCCTCTTCCTGATCTTGTCTTTACTAACACTGCTGAAATTTATTTTCCGCATCTTGGTTGGCCCAGTGTGAACCACTGTTCCGTTTCTTTGGACTTTCGGCTCTTCATATATTGTAGCCAAGGTTTTGACTTTCAGGGAACAAAATTTCTTACTGATGAAATAACTTTTTGCATCATCAGTTTCTTGCAATTTAGTAAGTTTTGTTGGCCTTAAATTGCATCTTCGTTTTGATGATTCATATGGCTTGCATGTACCTTGGACCCGTTTTCTTAACATCCGATAGGCAACTGCACAAACAGTCTCAGTTCTAGTGTTCCTTTCTTTAACAGATGAAGCCTGATTATCCTCTATTTCTAAGGAAGCCATAATAAAAGGAAGTTCTGTCATAGCTAATCTCCTGTAACACAAATGGACAAATTAATGGAATTAACAAACATGGACCAAAGGCAATCTATTTAAAGAAATCTTGACAGGTGTAATTTTCATAATTTTTTGCAAGTACTGAATAAAATCAGAAACAAAGAAGTTTTATATACTGCATCTAGTGAGAATTTATTAGCACTAATAACACTTGCAATGGAGAACTTAGAAATGTTTTAATTTCATTTCATGCAATCAATACAGAACACAAACACAATTTTCACAGAGCAGTCACTAATCTTGCAGTCTATCAAAAAGGATTTTTCTACTATATTAGATTAGGGCAACTGCTAGCACAAAACAATAAAGATAATCTGTTGTCTATCAGATGGACTGCCTCCATGGAAAAATAAAACAAATCTTTGTATAAGAATATGAAAGCTGTTGGTCAGAAAAGGTTTTCATCATAATTATACCAACAACAACAATAACAACAGTAATGACAGCAATAATAATCATCATCTTTGTTGTTATTATTCCATCTATTCACCACTTTATAGGGTATTTACTTCTACGTAACCGTGACAAACCTTGCCCCTGAGGTACATAGTGCAGCACCTATTTCCAAAATATGTTTTGTTTTTAATGTGTGTTACATGCATTATATAGTTTTATTGTGAGGGATGACAATAGATTTTACAACAGCATCTTTCGAATAATGTATGAAGATCCTAAAATGGCAGTTTTCTGAAGTTCCCTGATGTTGTGTTCGCCTGGGATGTTGGCCATATATTTTCTAAGTGATTTGGAGACAGTTCCAGTTGCTCCTATAATTATTGGTATTACTTGTGGTTTCACTTTCCACATTCTCTGTATTTCAAGATCTTCTCCCCTTCATTCTTAATTACATTCCCATCAGTTGGTACTGCTATATCAATTAAAAGACAAGTTTTTTTTTCATTATAATATCTGGTTTGTTATTTGGAATGGTTCTATCTGTTTTGACTTGTTGGTTACCCTGACTTGTCTCAACTGCCTTCATGATGTGTTCATACCAATGCTTCTTTTCTAGCTTTATCCCAGTTTTCCTGCTTATGCAAGATTTGAGGTCTTCACAGCTGTGAGTATGAAGATTTCAGACCAGACTACACAGCGCAACAACCCAGAAGACAGAAATCTTTCCTGCTTATGTTAAAATGCAACTGAGTACAGACATGATCATGTCGTTCTATATTTTGCTCTTTTGCCAGCACTCGGAATCCAGAGACAACGTGATCTGTCATTTCCCCAAATTGCTGACATAATCTGCATTTGCTGTCTGTATCTGTTTTCAATATTTTTGTTGCATAATATTTTGTGTTTAGTGCCTGGTCTTGTGCTGCTATAATCTGACTTTCAGTTTCCCCTTTCAGATCTCCTCTTGTTAGCCACAAAATGTGTCCTCTTTGCTTATAAGTTGTCTGTCCAAACTTCGGAGATACTGACCATGCATTATTTTGTTCTCCCATTTTTTCTTTATACTTTCTTGAATCAATGTCTTAATTTGTTATCCTACATTTGTTTCATTGATTTCATCTTCAGAATTTTATTCCCCTTTGATTTTTTATGCTGTCTTAGTTATTGAATTCATTATTGCTTGAGACCTGTCGTGTAATTTTATGATATTAATATATGTATCCTTTTGATGCTTTATGTGCAAACACTCTGCAATTTTAACTATTTAACTTTTGTTGTTGTTATTATTATTATTTTAGTTGTAACACAATGAGAAGCTGACTGCACTCCCATTGTTTTCAAATGTGCATAAAGGAATAAATAAATTAATGCAAAGACTTCAATATAAATTAAATTTCACAGCCTCAACAGCCAAAATAACATGGTAATTAAAAAAAACACTTCGGAATAGAACATGAGTTGGCCACTGAATAAGCAAGCACATTAAGCACACTACCACATGAGCTATCACTGACAATATTACAATGCCACACTTAATGAGAGAATAAAGTAACTTTAAATAAAATGGAAAACTGCATTTATCAAAGAAATGGTAGACTAACAACACATAATATTTTAGACAGGAAGCCTAGCATAGTGAGCACACATTGGGGAAGCCAGGATTATGGTAGGATTTTGGCAGAGAAACGACCACAGTGCAAACCAAGATGGAGATGGGAAGATAACATCAAGATGGATCTTGGGGTGGTAGGCTATGAGGATGGCAAATAGATGAAGTTGGCTCAGGATCGTGGCTAGTGGGTGGCTTTGGTGCTGTTCATGTTGAACCTGCGGGATCTGCTACCAGGGAGTTAGTTAGTTTAGTCACAGGAGAGTCTACTGCCATACTGCAAAACAGGACCAAACTCGAGGGTAACAACTAACCGGACCCCCTTGTCTGTATACCTACTGAACATGTTGCTGTTGCTCTCTGGAGTTCTTTCTCAGAAACTACAATAATCTCATATCATATGTTGTTTCTTAGTTTTTCCAGAGTGGTGGGATTTGATTTGCAAACTTTACCTTTCAAACTACCTCACAAATAAAAGTCACGAGAAATTAAATCAGGGAAAGAAGAGGCCACAGACCATGGCTAATTATGCAGTCACCACAAACTTCACAGTGCTTCCATGCTCCTTAACAGTATACCCCACTTGAGCCATATTGGATATGGTTCACTGACAAATGCATTAACAGAAGCAGACAAGCATGATTCACAGCAGAAGTACATTAACAATGATTGCTACTGCTGCAGAGGCATTGCAGGTCAATGCTGGGTTAGCCACTTATACTGATGCTGTTTTGTGGTCAAACAGGAAGAAATTCTCTCTGTAGATTCCTTTCACAGTTCATATAAAATTCAAGTGAATGATGAGAATTTTGGCAGTAAGACAGAAAAAAATAAAAAGGATGAGTTCTGTAACTTAGTAATCATTTTTCCGTACCTTTTTGGTGATAACTACGTACTTTTGGTACCAACCAGGTGCAATGAAAGGCAATTATCAACCTCCTTTGTTCAATAAAGTTGATCTGTAACAGTTTTAAAAAACTAGTATTAATAACTTAAAACAGCTCTTCCATCAAAAAAATGATACAATAGTATGTCACCTCACATACATTTTGTGGAAATGATACCTGCAATCTATAAAATCTGTTTCATCACCTCTAGAGTCTAATTGCTGGCATGTTTCATGGATTAAACATCTAATGCACAACCAAAAACAACTACAGTACATCCCTGCCTACTATTAGCTTCAACTTCTGACACGCATTGTAATGTACCTCAAATTATATCAAATCAAGTTACTCCATGGAATAAAGTTCTTAAACCACAAAGTCCCTAGAACAATGAATAAATTCTGCTTTTATGGAACCGAAATGAACTGGTCTCTATCTTGTGCCAGATGACTCTAGTACAGATCCTTTCATCCCACTTACTTTAGATCCTTTAACAAATCCTCCACCTATGCCTCTGTTTTCAGGTAGCCTCTTCCCTTCACGTTTTCACACCAAATTTTGGACACACGTGTGATGCATGCTCTGTCCACCTCATCCTCTTCCATTTGACCAATTAATAATATTTGGTGAAGAGTAAAAATGATTAATCACCTCATGATGCAATTTTCTCCAGACTCCTAACACTTTATTCGTTTTAGTTGCAAATATTTTGCTCAGCACCCTATTATCAAACATCCTCATTGTGTTTTCTTACGGCAATGTCAAAGTTCGAGCCACTCACCAATACAAAACAAAGGTTTAATCTTCACATTTTTTAATACAAAGGAAGACATACCTCAAATGATGCCGAGCACAGATCTTGTATATTATATTAAAGATGGATAAACAGAAGTATGGCTGTTGCAGACATCTCTCAGCAAACAGTTTCCAGCCCGATGTTACACATAAGGTTTGATTCTGTTTTCTTCCAAATTTTCGAAGTGGACAAGATCGGCCTTCTACCATGCAAGCCAAAAACCAAAGAGGATGAGGCACTTCCAAAGAAGATCGAAGGAGCGATGTTGGCAGCAAGGAACTTTGAACGTTGGTGAACTTCTACCGAACACAGCGCTACAATCCAGGAGGCAGCTAGCTGCCCTCAGATGTGATAACCTCAAATCTTATGATGTTGATATTAATCTCATGTGGAGGTCTCGTATTAATTGTGGTGTAATAGAGTGTACAAAACTGGTATTAGTAACGTATCCGGCTGTAATGGACAAAGAATAACTAAGCTTCAGTTACATATTGGAAGTTGCAGTATATACAGAGCAGCTAACAAAGTGATACCCGATTGAAAGTTTAAACAAAAGCTTTAACATTCAGATAATGGTACAAGTTTATCTGTGAACACTAAGAACAATTGTGGGCATTTATTCTTTGTGGATTACATGCTCATTACAATACCATATGAGCCGGGAAGCACATTCAATATTGTGACTGACTACGGGTTGGACGATCGGAATTCGATTCCCGGTAGGGCAGAGGTTCTTCTAGCTTTACCGCCCTGTCCGACTCGGGGGACCCACTGATCCATCTCGTGTGCAATGGGTATTGGGTTCCTTTCAACCGGGAGTAAAGCGCGGCCGGAGCGTGATGCTAACCATTCACCATCTAGTGCAGAGATTAAGAATTAGTGTGGCCACCGTTTTGTCGTGCTTTCTAAACATAGATGGCTGCGTTCGTGATGACTCGACAGCACAGATACTCTGTATTTTCACCACACATTTGAACAAAGCCCCAAACTGTTTTATTGAAAGTATTTTTTTCGTTTCCTTGCGACAATTTTGCACAAGGTAACCCTAAAGGAAAAATCCATAGGGACTTGTGGCCACATCCATAACGAGCAGGATATCAGTGGCTTTTATTTAAACTTTCAATCTGGTATCATTTTGTATGCCACTTTGTACATTTTTCCTCATTTACTTTTGACACAGTGACTTTACACTACTGTATCTTGTGAGCCAAAGGCACTATAAAACAAAGATATATTCTCATAGCTAATTTTTATTAATTCACCATCTTCATTTCTCAGTATTAATCGTAAAATATAATTTATTTACATTCCATAGATCCCTCTTAGACCTGACGCAAGACTGTAGAACATGTCACAGCACAAGTACAATACTTATTTCTAATACAAATTTAGGTATAAAGTTAATTTACAATTTACTACAGCATTACTGCAAATATAATTACACACGAAAGCATCTCCAATATTACTGGTGCCAACTTTAACTTTTTATATTATGATTCAGACTTTTGCTAATAAATGAAAGATTACTAAATAGCATAATTCAACCATAGTAAATGCAGTTTTCATATTTACTTAGGTTAGTTCTTGATATGAGTTTATTTGAAATTTCTCCATGTTACAAATAATAATAATGTGAAGGAGGCTGAAAAACGGACCAAGTATCAAGACCTTGTGTTTGAGCTAAGACAGCTGTACCCAGGATTCACTGTCAGATTAATCGTCCTTATAATTGGAGTTCTTGGAGGAGTCAAGTTGTCACTGCTGGCTAACATCAAGCTTATTCCGGCATGCCAGCGTAACGCTGAAGCATTACTCAGCCGGATGCAAAAGGCCGTGCTTCTTGGGTCACTCCGACTACTGCATGTGCACGACCCCAACTCACTGTAGCCGCCCATCTCGTGGTTCGAGCCGTGACTACAGTTTCATCTGGGCTGCAAGCATCCGAGTTATGACGGCAACACGCCTGAAGTTTTTGTCTGCTTGTGGACCAATTAAACAATTCATAATAATGAGAGTAAGAATTTGCTGGCTAGTGGAAGAACATTAGTTCTTAAGTAATTTCTTACAAGAACTCTCCATTTAATCCCTGCCATCATTCTAAAATATTTTCTTTTGAGTGTAAAATACCATTTTACTGTCCCCAGAAAATTCTTCCTTATTTCACGATGGATTTCATGAGTGATGTGACAGTCTGCATGCTGGTCTTAGTTTAGAAATAATGTATTGAATGTTTCCCATTTTAATTTATGTAAATTTGTAGGATAGGAAATTGTTCTTTCTACTTCTACAGTTGTTTTACCATCATATCCCTTACTTAGATAAACACAAAATTTTGTTATTAGTATAAAAATTTATAAAATGTTTTGTAAAACTTTAATATGAGTTTACTGGCTTACTCACCAGTCATCTAAATTTGGAAACAGTCAAATTCTGCATGTGAAAAATAGTATTAGTATTGTCTGAAAGAAAATATGGGTTTAGGTGTCAATGGTTGGGTGCAAATCATTGTTATATATGAAAAGGCAGAGGATGCAGTACTGAACCTTGAAAAACTCTGTATTTTTTAATGCCCCAGTTTGAATAGGTGCTAGTATTTCAGTCAGGTCAATTTACTTTTGACAGTAATCTGCACACTACATGAAATATCCATACTACATTGACACCTTGAATAAAGAGGCTTAAAAACCATAAATATGAACTAGAAGAGGTTATATCCAGAAAATTAGAAGCTGGAGTAACTTTGGTCAGAAAACCTCAATGGAAGACTACTAGCAAAATTTCATTGTAAATGACAGGACAATATTAAAGTAGGTCTTTAATAAATATGGATTATCTGGTTCAGGATTGGGTCCAATGACAAGTTTCTTGACCAACTGAGCCACCATAAACTTTCAACAAAAATACATGACATAGTGGTAGTAGTGCTGGTACACTCCACTTAATAATGAAAAATTCAAAGTGACTCTGTCTCTTAAATATCAGCCAGAGACAGTATCACTTAGATAATGAATTTGATATCTGCATCGAAGGAATAAGGAACACATATAGACACAAAAACACGGGCTTTTGAAAACTCATTTCATATGAAAAACTATCATATATTCATTTAAAAAATATATGACCAATGCCACAGTAATATGTACATATCAAAATTCCCAAGACATTTAAACTAAGCTAACCCTTACCATCTCCTCAGCAACTTAATCAACCTTCAGGAGTGTGGCAGATGCTAATGTTCAGACCTGGCCGAACATTTGCAAGAGCCACAAAATAAATCTTACTCATTCTGCTTCCATGACTGGCCAACTAGCATGGCAGCTAGCCAACCCTCATCCTGTTAAGTCTATGTTTAAAATTTCACTAAACATGCTTCATTTGTTGCCTACACTTGGGTCTGAACTAACCTGAAACCTCTCTTCCAATAAGTTTGTGCTTCTAATGAGGGACCAATCAGCAAACGCCCACTATAGAAGCTCAATCAAAACAGGTGGCTTCCACTCAGGGCAGCCATATCCGTTGAACTAATACTTCAGTGAAAAATACAACTCCCTTAATTCCCTTCACAGTAGTGTTTTAACAGTGTAATGTATTTTAAAAAGACTCCAGCATTTGCACTGGGGATTGAACCCAGGTCTTCTTATACAACTGCCATTACTCTAAAACCAAGTCAATACTTGTCATATTAAAGTGCTGCACTTTTCATTGCCTTCAAAGCTGTCCTAAAGAGCTAAGAAAAATCAGTGCAATTACCTCTTCTACATGAGAACTTTTATTAAATGACAACTTTTCACATCCACAGTATATTCTAGAAGTTATAGAACATATATGAAGAGTAATTCTTAAGGATTTATCGAGCAGCTTATGAATGCCCTACAGTGCTGTGAAATCAACACCTTCTATTTAAACTAGTGTAACAGTCAGTTGAATTTCAACAGTGATAAATTGTCAGTTAAATATATACACCATATTTATTGTGAATATATATTTTTTTGATAAATTTGCTTGAGCCTCACTACTGTGGAGTAATGCATTCAAATTATATGGCTACAGAAGTTAATTTATCAAGTACTGTTTATTTGCCATATTATTAATGATTTTATTTAGTTCATTTACTGCCATTATTTGTAGCTTGTCCTCAGATTTTGCTATTATAACTTGATCATCTGTGTACAGTATTGTTTGAATTATTTTTCCAGAGGTCAACTGAATGCCATTTCTAGCAGTTTGTTTCCAATCTTTTATAGCTTTATTAATGTGAATGTTAAAAGAAGTCTGGTGATAATCCAGATTCTTTTCTTACTCCTTTGTTAGTGTTGATTGGTTCTAAGATTTGCCCCTCATATTTTATGCATTTCTTTGAGTTTTTGTACAAACTCTGAATTGCTTTTGAGAATTATGTTGGTATATTATTCTCCCTTAATATCTGCCATAGATTTCCCCAGTTTACATTGTATGCTTTTTCATAATAAAGAAAAAGGATAGATGTTGGTAAATTCTCTTCATTTTCCCAAAATCTGCTGCAATGTGTGGTGTTCCTTGATCGTCTGAAGCCACATTGTTCATCCTCTAAAACAGATTCACTGTATCTGTTTAATTTGTGTTTCAATATATTTGTATATAGCTTTGATGCTGCAGTTATTACAGTTATGTAAGATTTGAGGTTTTCACAGCAGTGAGTATGAAGATTTCGGTCTTCTGGGCTGTTGCGCTGTGTAGTCTGGTCGATGTTTACCAACGTTTCAGAGGTCATACTGCCTCTGTCATCAGGGTGATGAATATGCCAATAGGGTGGGTGGGGCTAGGTTTATAGGAGCCGGACTGTGAATGGCATAGCCTGCCCCGAGCCAATGGGAGCAGGCCTGCTATAAACCTAGCTGCACCCACCCTATTGGCATATTCATCGCCCTGAAGACGGAGGCAGTATGACCTCTGAAACGTTGGTAAACATCGACCAGACTACACAGCACAACAACCCAAAAGACAGAATTCTTCTTATTACAGTTACTTTTAGGGACTCTTTTGTGTACACTAATTACGATTCCTGTTTCCCAGCCCATGGGTATTTGCAGGTTATGCCATACCATGAATAATTTTCATAGCTTCTTTTTTAGTAAAGCATTGTCATATTTAAAGAGTTCTACATTTAAGCTTTTTATGCCAGGGCTCTATTTTTTTAGCACACAATTAAGTTCTTCTATTCTTGTCCTCTTCATAGTCAAGAGTTTTGGTCATTTCTTCATTC